ATGGGCCCGAACCCTTTTAGGATTTTCTTAGTCTCACTGAGTCCTACTTATAGCCAAAATATGGAGTCAAACGGCGTCCGACAGTTGGATAGGTTCCCTCGTCAGTTCTTTTTGAGGTTTTGAATGTGCTGTTTCTCGTGGCCTGTAAAAAATTGTTTTAGAGCAGACGATGTGTTCGAGAACGAAGTTTGAAAATACGTCAGAAATTGGTAACTTGTCTTTTCCAGCAATGTGCTCAAGCAACAAAAGAAAAACATTATTAAAGTTTTGATTTTGCAGTTAGGTAGAAAAGAGCGATCATCTCTGATAAAAAAAAACAAATCCGATCAAAAAGTCTTTTCTTTTGATGGAGTTATGGAACTTTTGCTGAGAGCACCACCATACGCAGAATGTAAAAAATTAATGAAAACTACACAACAACCGACAGAAAAATTATTATTTCTCCATGGGTTTTTATGTGAAAATTTTGAAGTGTAGCTAAACGATAGAGCGAAGTCTGAGCTACAAAATAGTAATTCAGTTTTACTCACTTTTAAATCGTTAACACACGAAATCGTTTTTGAGTTTAGAAAGTTTTCATTTTTTTCGACTTTCATCTAATTTGCTTAGTTTTCTTGATTGAAGTTCTGAAATTAAAGTTTAGGTATGATTTTGTAAAGTATTTCGTGGCGCATCTTTTAGAAAAAACCATTAACCTTAAGGTCTTAGAGGAACACGAGAAAAATGAAAAATAGTAAAGGGCTCATTTCTTCTGGCGCACTCGTTAATTCCTATAGATCTCTACTGAAATTCAAGATTTCTATGCTGTTAACGATTGTGAAAATCAATTTAATTCATAATTAATCATTTTATTGCTTTTACAGTTTCTTAACGATAGTTGCTTTAAAAACGAAAACTTAGCTGTTGTTTCTATTCTTAGTGTTCTGATGGATCCAAGACGTAAAGCAAAAAAATTAGCGTACAAAGGACTTTATCCTGGTGCTCGTGTCTGTCGTGGTAAAAATTGGCAATATGAAGAGCAAGATGGGGGAGATTCGAAACGTGGTAAAATAACTGATTTACAAGATTGGTCTAAAACACATCCGAGAAGTGGTGCTTATGTTATTTGGGATAATAATCGGGAAAATTTATATCGTGTCGGTTTTGAAGGAATGGTAAGAACTAGTTGTATAAGCAAAAAAATATAGCAAAAGTATGATTACGACTGTCTCAACGATTTCTGATTTAGGTCGATCTTCAAGCCGTTGTGCCTGGAAAAGGAGGATATTATTATTCGGAGCATCTACCTTTATTGGGTTAGTATTATTAGAACATTTTTTTATAAAAATTACAAAATAAATTGAGTTGCGTATTTCTTATAGGTGAACCTCAACGAATTTCAAAGGCACACTCTTCTGTTTCTGGAAGTAATGGATTTCAAATTGGAAATTACGTTAATGTTGATTTAGAATTAGAAATTGTTCAATCATTACAACATGGTCACGGTGGTTGGAGTGATGGTATGTTTGAGTGTTTAGGCACAACTGGATGTGTACAAAGTATTGATGAAGATCACGATATTGTTGTCTCATATCCGAGTGGAAATCGATGGACATTTAATCCAGCTATATTAACAAAAGTTGAATTACCACCAGAACAACAACAAATTATATTCAGACAACAACAACAACAACAACGAGATTTGAATACTGTACAATCAGCTGCAGTTTCACTATCATCACCATCGACAACAACAACAACAACAACAACAACTGATGCTCAAAAATTAGAAATTAATGATATGGTACAAATATGTAGTGATCTAGAAAGAATTAAAATTTATCAAAGAGGGCATGGCGATTTTGCTGAGGCAATGATGCCGGTAAGAGAGAGAGATACAATGCAAACAGTTTGAAATACTAAATAGTCTGTCTTATTTAGGCACTTGGCAAAATAGGTCGCATTATTCATCAATATGCTGATGGTGATATTAAAGTTCAAGTTGCTGGAGGTTGTTGGATATTTAATCCATTAGCTGTTACAAAAGTTCATCAAACAATATCCATAGACGATGAGAATGAAGGTAAATGTGTGCATCAAAATTAGAATAAATTCAATATCTTTTTTAATATTTTCAGAAAGACTTAGTGCAATGTTAAAAAAATTGTTTGATGCTCAAGTTACGGGTGATGTACACGAAGAACTTGTTAAAGCTTCAGCGAATGGTGATTCAAGAAAAGTTGAAGAATTACTACAACGACCACATGTTGATGTCAATGGAATATTTGCTGGTCACACAAGTTTACAAGCAGCAGCTCAAAATGGACATATTGACGTTATTCGAATACTTATGTTACATCATGCTAATTTAGAAATTGAAGTCAGTTTCCTTTTCTCACTTCAATATCTTCATAATAATAATAATAATAATATGTCGATTTAGGATAAAGATGGTGATCGAGCTGTACATCATGCATCATTTGGTGATGAATCAATTGTACTTGAAATATTAGCTAAAGCCGGTTGTGATTTAAATGCTCGAAATAAACGTCGTCAAACAGCATTACATATCGGTGTTTGTAAAGGTCATTTCGATGTTGTCAAAATTTTGTTGACTCATGGAGCTCATGCTGGTATACAAGATTCGGATGGTGATACATCACTGCATGATGCTATATCAAAGCGACGAGATGATATTGTAGCTCTGCTGCTTGAACATAATGCTGATGTGGCGACATGTAATAACAACGGTTTCAACTGTATTCATCATGCAGCATTAAGAGGAAATTCATCGTGAGTACTTAACATATTTTTAGCTTAAAACTACTAACTTGCCTAACAATGTTCATAATTGCTGTCTCTTTATTCTCTTATTTACGCTTGATTGTTAACGTTTTATTTGAAATAACTTATTTCAAATTCATACAGTCTACATCTTTTGAATTATTATTGAGATTACAGTTTGAAATACACGTCGTTAAGAAGCATGAAATGCAAATATATCAATAAACTGTGTAAACGTGAAGCTTATGTTTATTTTAGCTATTATATGTGAAAACATGTTTCCTATCTAATCCTTTGAAATTAAGTGTGATCATTTAAATATAAAAATATAGTAATCACATAAAATTAATAATGTAATCAAATTTTAATAAATTATAAATTATTTTTGAATATTATGAACAGTGAAATCATTTTCTAAAATGAAATTTTCAATAATTTTATCTTAGTAAAATGAATTATCTATAAGTGAACAAATGTCTAAAAGAAAGAAAAGAGAAAGTAGATATCTTTCTTTTCACGCTTATTATCTTCTTATCATTCGTTTGATTGTTCATTTTATACGCAGACTCACGCCTTTTATTGACTAATCATTTGTAGATTCATTTCTGACATTAAAATTATTCCATATGTTTCTCATCAGGATTGAACGCGTGCAACAATTCCTTTGATTCATTATAACATGAACTAGAATAATAGAAATGGACAATTATGCATAATTAATGAACAAAAAAAAAGAAAAGAAAACATCTATTTTGCCACGAACTGATTGAAAATTGATTTTTAACTTTTAAGTTTTCTTTTAAAACCAAAAAGCTCTTGAAAAGTTGATCATACTTTCTATTCAAACAATACAAATCATTCATCATATTCATCTTGTGTAGTAGTGCCCTCTGTTCTTTAATTGTAGATAAAAGAGTCCAAGGTGTTGTACAGTTGAATGTTTTTCAACAAAAAAAAAAGTGTTTATTTTAAACAAAAGAATGATAAAATATAATTTCTGAATAATTGTATATTTTTCTTGTAAAAGACAGTTCTTTTAGTAATTGCAGTAAAGATTTTGTTCGACTAAATTCATGAGAAAAGCAAAAACTTTGCATGTTTACATGGTTATTTGTTAACAGTTGTTTTTTTTCCAATCATTAGTGAGTCGTTTCATAAGTCCATTAGAATGTGTATTTATTATTGAATCTAGAAGATATTTATTTTCTTTAACAACAATAGATATTTTACTGAAATTGGTTTAAATTTTCCAAATCTAAAATAAAATATTAATCTCTCGTTTTTCTATTGTAATACTACGTAGTTTAATGTTAAATATAGATCAGAGATTTTTTAACATGAATGTATTATATTGTGAAATTTTTGTTATTGATACTATTAAAGTTTTAAATAACCTTTTAGTGACTCTTGTCAGTTGAATTAGAGTAGTCAAGTAATTATTTGAGTTATTTATTTTTGTTTTGTTCTCTTTTTAATCCAAATAATATAGAAAAAAGCACAAATTTTGCATTGTATATTGTCATGCAAATTATTCATCGGTATTATTTCTTATGCAACAAGAATAAGCATCTCGTCATCATTTTTGTTAACTATAGAGAGGTGAACAAGCAAATACTTCACAAATTAAAACTATTGTTATGAAAAAAAAAAAAAACCCAAAGAAAACAAAAATTATAATCTGATTATTATTACAAAAATCTTATAATATGAGAAATTTTTCATTGTAGAATATACTAGATTAAATAATAAAAAAAAAAGGATACATAATGGATAATTTGTTCGTTGTTTGTTGTTTTTGATATTAAATCGACGAATTATCTGCATAGCTCTACGTACTTCTTTACATTCCACAGACATAATTTCAATGTGGCCTGTTTAGAGGTACGTTTGGCAATAATGCAGTTATTTTTTTTTATAATAATAATATTTGAAAAATGATTCTCTTTGTTATATATATATACATACCGTTCAATATAAAATCCAAAAATTGATAATCGTTAATACTTATATACATTTAAAATAGATAATATTTGTAAAAAACTTGGTAATAATCAATACATACAATAAGAAGAGAAGAAAATTTTTTATTGTTCATTATCAATGTTTCATACAAAAATCCAAACGATGATAACAGTATGAAGTTTTTGCTTGAACTGAACTATATACAACAGTTTCCTCTCCTATATCTTTGAATAAGGAAATACACAGTAAATCGTAGAGAAAGATAGAGATTATGAATATTTTACTATTCGTTTATATATACATTTTTTTTTTTTTTTTTTTGTTTTTCTGGATTTCTATTTTTGTACATATAGAAGAAGATATCTCAAAAGAATATATATATTTATATTCTGATTTTTTTCCAAGAGATATTTCTGCCTAAGTTTGGCCAATCCAAGAATAATTTTATTTATTATTATTATTATAATCATTCTAGTGTATGTATGTTAGATATATATATTCTACAAGAAGAAGAAACGAATACGATAAGAGTCCATCATTTTCTTCTCAATACAAACATATACATACATAAATAGTGTTACCTACAGCAGCAGGAAGTATTTTCGTTCTTCTACTGTTGATAACCCATCGGTTCTGTTTTTTAAAAGAATACACATACACATACACACACACACGCGCGCGCTTCTTCTTCTTCTTATTCTCTCTACTCAACTATTGTTCTAAGTATAAATATAGATGATAAGAATAAGGCAATAAGAGAGAGAGAGAGAGAGCTTGTTTATAGTCTGATAACGTTGATGCCAGAGACGAAAAGAGAAGAGAAGAAGCAAAAAAAGAAGATGAACAGCAAGATGAAAATACGGAAACGATGATGAACAACATAAGGTTAGTTTTTTTCTTTTTCTTCTTTTTCTTATACATAGAAAAATACGGCATATGTATTTATGTGTGTCTGTGTCTGTTTTAAGGAAAGCAATATGACTTATCGATCAAACACATCGAAAAAAAAAAAGAAAAATAATAATAATAATAACAACAATATGGGATATTTTAGAACGTTTCCCAGAAAAAAAAAAAAAAGAAAGAAGAAACGCGTTTGTATATGTACATAGAGGTTGAAAAGAAGTAGAAGAAGAAAAATAACATAAAAGATAGACATTGTAAATTCTGTTGATTCATTTCTTCTACTAAAACATTGCAGACATCAAATTAACTGTTCAACACAGTAATATCAGCTCTTTTATTTATGAGATATGAACACACACGCTTAACATATGTTGGCATTTCTAATAAGCTATGTTAAACTATTATTTAGAAGAAAATTGGATGATAAAAATAAAGTAAAGAGTATATCTGACATTAAATGTATATAATAAACATTCATATCCAACAGAATATTCATTTGTTCAATTAAAAAAATATCCTTTTATTACCATTTTGACTTATTGTTTTGTGAAACCTTTTTTTAAGTAAAATATCGATAGAACGTTTGTTTTTTTGTTTTTTTTTTGTTCGCCGTTATCTTACACTCTCAAAAAAAATAATAAAATACGACAAATAAACATACGAGTTAAATGGAGTTAAAATTTGTATTTAATTCACATTCTTGTTGATAAGAACGAGAACCATTACTGAAAGGCTAACAAATGATTATTTTATGATGTATATCAAACGGAGTGATACTACATATTTAGATGAATACATTGCAATTTTTCACACACACACAATACGTCACTTTCTCTGCTTTTTTTGGATCATTTTAATATCCTAAATGATTCAAATCGAACAATAAAATACAAGATTATGCAATTCTTTAGAACAGAGTCCATATTATCAGATAACACTGTATTGTTTTGAATATTTGAAAAAAAAAATGACACAATTCTGACTAAAGTTATCAAATCACAAAAAATTTTTTATATATTTTTTGTTTTTCTTCTCTACGGTTCAAAATACATTTTTCGATTCGATCAACAAAACCTAACATCATACTTAGTGGCATATATACTACTTTTAAAGCGTTAAAAATCTCTTTATATTAGACTCCTCGCGATTAAACTGTTCTTTTAACGATATCTCATCGAAGAATTATGACCTCATCTGTTAACAGCTAATATATATTTGATGTCTGTCAACAATATACAACTTTCTAGCTAAACATTTTTCTCATCTATCAATTATTATGGGATAATTCATCAATTTCTTCTTTTCTTTTTTTTTTTTTTGTTTTTTTAAATACAATTCTATTTTAGTGTTGTCGACTCGTTAGTGATTTTCTTTTTCTCGTAATTCCCAAACGTAATAGACCATAATACCATATCTTTTATCTTAATGATCTTTTGCCATTTTAATATTATAACGTGTTATTTATTGACAATGTAACCTTTTTATTATCTAACGTTCATATCGGTAGATAATCTGTTCGCTCGCCTCTTCTTTGGTTTTTTTTTGTGCTCTTTCTCATCTTAAAAATGATATGATAAATCAACAATTTTTTAGCACACTTTTTCTACTAGTCTAATTTGATTTTAGACTTTATATAAAAAAAAATTGAATTTGATAAGAATTAGGTAGAATTTATTTCCAATTATTCATTCGAAATATGATATTATAGAGTATTTTGTTTGTTTATAAAAAATAGTTCGTTTATGTTGTTGTTGTTTTTTTTCTAAGAAATTTATTTTAAAAGTAATTAGTCAAATGTTTAGAATCTATTATTTTTCTTACTCTAACACTATCTTTCGTCAAAAGCTTTTTGATCAAAGAAATAGATCTTTAATAGAGATTTGATATAGTATGTCAGTTATATTAACTGGCTGACGTATGTCTGTCTATTTCAATATCTGAAACTATCAAATTTTTAATGTTAACCGACATGATCCTTGATTTTCTACATTAGAGAAGAAAAATAGTCATTTGTACAAGATATGAAACTTATAACTGTCTGTAAACTATATTGTATATTTATAGACAGTTTCAAAATGATTAATTACTTCTTCTTCTTTTCTTTTGGAAGATTAATTATATTTAAGAAATCTCATAATATCGGATACATCATACGATTATTTATCTGATCATAGATCTTCTTCAAACTCTTTTGATACGAATGATGAAAATAACAAAACAAAAAAAATGAGTCAATCATTTTAGTATCAAAAAAACAAAAAAAAATCTCACTTAATTAGACTAATTTTGAATAAATCTTATCAATATTCATAATAAAATAAGTAAAATATTTCTATGTACATATATCATTTAATTTGTACTCTATATTCTAAAATAATAATGATTAAATAAATAACATAACAATAATAGAATACTTAATCTTACGAAGAGTAAGAATAAAAATAAATATAAAAATTATTTATTGTTGTATATACTTACACATCATACAATATATAAAGAGAAAAAATATCGAACGATGAAAGAATTAGATGAAAATAAGTTATTATTTATGAATTTAGCTATATACTTTTCTAACATAGAATATAGAATAATGTTATGTTAAACATTTGAATGAACATTAAATGATGACATACCATATGGTCTAAATTCCCATCCTTCTAGTACGATCGGCGAGTGATTGAAAAGAGAGTGACATCAATGAGAAGAGAAGAAACGTTTTTTTTTTTTTTTTTTTTNTTTCAAATATAAAATCATATGAAACGCGTTTTGATCACTGTGAATAATTAGAAAAAAGATATTTTTTTTGCGTTTTTTTTTTTGTTGTTGTCATCATTATTCAAGAACCATTCTTCTCTGGTCTGAGTAAGCTTCTTTCTTTTTTTTTTTCTTTTTTGACATGTGTTTTTGTCTGATGACTTTTTTCTTTTGCGTCTCTTCGTCACTTGAACATGCTGGTGATTGAACATTCGACCGAAGAACAAAACAAAAAAAAATAGAAAAAAAGAAAAACTAAAATCTTTTTTTGTTCTACGTGTTCACTTGTGTCTCTGCTTGATTTTTTTGTATTGTCATGAGTCTATTAGTGTGTGTGTGTGTGTATGATGAGCAGAGACAATTTTTTTTTTTTGTTTCTTCTCTTTTGAGGTTTAATATTCGGCGGCTGTTCAGGCTTTATTTTTTTTTTGAGCATGTGGGCTTTTTTTTTTCTTTTTTTTTTTTTGTTTCTTTTTTATTAACGTATCTGTGGTCATATTTTTTCTTCAGAAAAAAACAAAAAATACCCTCCCCTCCTCTCAGAAAATAAAAGGAAAGAAAAAGAAATTTTCAACTATAAGTAATAGTCTCTCTCTACTGTTGTTTCTTTTTAAATATTTATTAACCGAAAAAAACGCAAAAAAAATATCTTTTTTCTAATTATTCACAGTGATCAAAACGCGTTTCATATGATTTTATATTTGAAAAAGAATTCGTGTTTATAATAATATGATCAACATAGTAGAGAAAATAGTGAAAAAGGTAAGAAATTAAGTATCAAATTTTGAATAAATAAGGGGATAAAGAGGGGATATTGCAGATGTAAATTATTATGATTGTATCATCCTTTTTTCAAGATTATTAAGATGTTGGATTTCTATATATATCCAGCTGATTATTGTCTCTATAGTTGGCAGACATGTGTTCTATCTACTAAAACTTTAGAGTAGATATGAGGGTGAAAAAAAATATACACAAAAATACTTAAAGAAAATACAGTTTTTATTTCTTCTTCTTCTTTCGTTTATTAATTATTGTATGTAAGCGTGTGTACGGAAAATTTTTACACTTTCATCTATAACATTTAGAATAAAAATAAAAAATAGTCTTTTTCGTACGTTTCCATAACTGACATAACTCTTTCGTATATATAATCGATACATTTTTCTTCTGCTTTCTACTATCTATAACATCATTTTTCTTCTTAGAAAATGGCTCGATAAATAATAATAATAATAATAATAATAATAAATAAATAAATCTTGTTATTTCTTTTTTTTTTGTTTAGCAAACGCTATGTACTAAATTATCTTTGTGTATATATTGCATCATAATGTTTGTATGTTATATGTACAAAATTGTATATTCTATTTCTCTAAAAATTAGAATAGATATCAAGGCTATATACGAATATTTCAAAAAAATGATGAATTTGAGTATAATAGTAGAAAAATTTGTAGAAAATTCATTCATTATTTTTGTCATCAAAGATGAATGTATAGAAATAGAAAATTATTTTTTTATTCTGTTCAAAGTCAGTCATACAAAAAAGAAAACATGAAATAACAACTATATACAAGATGGATATCTAATTCAGAAAACATAGACAAGTTGAGAATGTATAATGGATATTTGTATTCATGACAAATTTTTCATTTACATCAAAATACTCGATATTTCTTATTTTTTTCGAATAAATCAACATGAAATGTGATAAAAATTGAAAATTAAACTAAAGTTCTTGTGATTGAGTTCGTAGATGATTATAATTTTTCAAAAAATCTTAATAAAATGATCGACATCACAAGAATAGTACTGATATTTCTTTTTATTTTCTATTGATTGTAACAGCTGTTAAGAATTAAATGATATGGAACTTATCTCTTTTGTAAGCGGAAGTAGATAATTGTTCTCTAAATTGACCAAAACAGAACAAATTATTGTATATGGATTAATATTACATCGGTTTGTTGTATTTTAGAGCAATTGAATTAATATTGGGTAAAATTCAAACTCGTCAATGGTTAGTCGATGAGAAGAAAGACGACGGTTTTACTGCGTTACATTTAGCATCATTGAATGATCATTGTTCAGTAGCTGAATTGTTATTAACAAAAGGAAATGCTTCGATCAACGCTCAAAATATTAGTTTACAAACACCGTTACATCTTAGTGTTGGAAGACAGCATGCACAAATTGTAGAGGTAAATGTATAATGATAACATGACATAAATTTATTTGATATGGAAATTAGCTCACTTTGAATGAATTCATCTTCTATTAATAATTGACTTGATTACTCTTTGACTAGAAAAGATGGTAGAGAGTAATAAAGGAAAAATTTTAGTGACCAAAAATGTCCCAAATAAATTTTATATGCACATCGTTTTTTTGGATGTGAATTGCACATGTGTTGTCGGTTTTAATTAAAAAACTTTTCGATGTGCAAAACTCATTGTTCATTTGGCAAAATATCCAATGTTTCTAGCTGAAAAATAGAATGAGGTTCCAGAGTGATTTTCTTAATAAGTTTAATAAAGATTCTAAACTTTTCTTCCATAAGTTGACAGTATCAAGGTAGTAGTATTTGTGATGAAAGTATTCTAGCATAATCTTATCGTGAAAAAAAAACGAAAACTACGTTTGAAAATAACATCGTCATTCAGAAAACAATGCATTGTCGATACTTGAGATTTTTACCTAAAATAGTGCATTATGTAGCCACTACTATTAACATTTGTGGTTCCAGTGCGCCCTTTAGTCTGTAATAACAAAAGCATCTCTGGACGTTCTGGTTTGCTGACATGATCGTATATACTATGCAGTATCCGTGGCATACGGTACACGTCAAGAAGACGACTATGCCACTCTCTCCACTCTATAAACAGCTGAAGATCATCGAAAAATATTTAAAATTTACCAGTTGCTCTATGTGTAAGTCATGACGAAAGTGATGATCTACAGTTCACAATAGAAAAATGTAATCTTTTTTTCAGGCTCTAGAGCATCTTGAATCACGCACATACCACAAACTTCGAGGTTTTTTACTGACGCGAGTCGAAAAAAGCAATGAAAATTACGCATTTTCACCTGAAAACAAGATAGTATTTCATATTTTTTCATAAAAATCGATTTGGATCGAGAAAATATCCTACATGAGCCAAACATAACAGACAGTTTTTTAGAGATTCACAGAAAATTTCGGTACTGGGGACCGTATCATAAAAAAACTGAAGTCTGACTTAAGTTTTACTATATTACAAAAAAACTTAAGTCAGAGGATGACTTAATCCATGGGAAATGTAGTCTTAAAGTTAAGACCGAAAACTTAAGTCGGACTTAAGTCATTGACTTTTTTTTCGATTAGCTCAAACATTTAACGATATGATTCGACGAAAACGACATTTTAAGGATTAGAGAATAAATATTTCGTTATTTTGCGGGGTTTTGTTCCAAGTTTGTCACTGTTGTCCACGACGATTAAAAAGTAAACAAATCGCCAACTTAAGTCTTTTCGTAATACGGTTTAAGTCCCGGACGTAAGTTGGTGACTTATGTTTTTTTCGTGATACGACCCTATGAGTTAAGCTCATGAGAAAAAGACACATTTTTTCCAAAATCTGAATTTTAATTTTTGAAAGTTTTCTGTAAACTTTTACTACCTCAGCGACATTGTACCTTACTAAGTACAGAATGTATGCAAAATCAACCACAAATATTTCTGGATATAACTGCTTACTAAACATCCGCTGTCGATCTTTCAACATTTTGCCATCTTTAAACATGTATTATATTCATTTTTTTAGTTATTATGTAGTAAAGGTGCAAATGTGAATATTGCAGATAAAGATGGCGATACACCATTACACGAAGCTTTGCGACATCATACATTATCTCAACTGAAACAATTACAAGAAGTGGGCGACGTTGGAAAGGTAAGCCAGTCTGTTTATCTGTTCAATTGTATTCTTATCCTCTGTTTATTCGAAATTAGATGATGGGTGTGTTTGCCAATGGCGCTTTAGATAAACGAACATCATCGTTAATTGCCTGTACGCTTGTGACACATGGTGCCGATTTATTATTGAGAAATAAAAAAAGTCAGACACCATTGGATTTATGTCCTGATCCACATTTATGTCGGACATTAGAAAAATGTTATCGAGAATTCAAGTATGTACTTGATTGCATGTAAATATTATTGATCAATGACAACGTACTATTTGTTTTTAGAGAAAAAAATATTGATCAGGGAATAAATTCACCTACACATCATGAAAATGTGCATGATGAATGCATGGTATGCTCTGATAATAAACGTGATACAATATTCGAGCCATGTTTTCATGTGGCAACATGTTATGTATGCGCGGGAAGAGTTAAAAAATGTCTTATATGCAAGGAAAATGTACAATCGAGAATAAAAGTATACATTGATATTCTTCAGTTGTATTCTATTTTTACTGATTCTGTATTTTTTAGATTGAAGAATGTAAAATTTGTTCGGAAAGAAAAGCATCAGTGTTATATAAGCCATGTGGGCATCTAATTGCATGCGAAGGTAGATTAGTTATCTCTTAAAAGTTTTCAAACATACTGTACTTGCAAAAATTATAGAGCCGCTGTATTTTTGAAAGTTTTCGATGAAGCCGAGCAACTAAATCAAATTTGAATAGTGATTTGGATAGTCATTACAGTTCTCTATCAAATTCAGTGTGTGTTAAGATTTCAGAAAAAGGTTTTAAAGAAACTTTTCTAGAAAACCGCGAAGCCTAGAGGATTTTGCTAAAAATATTTTCAATATAGTCATCTAAAAAAACCATAAAATTCTAAACAAAATGAGGAAGCGCTTAGCTCTCCACGATCTTTCATTGCAAAGTTACAGACATCAGAAAAACCCAAAGAAATAGTATAATTTACAAAAAGAACGCTAAAAACCGACTAAATAACTAGCACATTTCTTTGGGTTTTTATGATGCCTGTAACTCTGCAACAAAAAATCGTGGAGAGTTAAGGGATTTCTCATTTTCAGAATTTTATGCTGTTTTAGATGGCTATATTGAAAATATTTTAAGCAAAGTCCTCTAGGAAATAGAGCTTCGCTGAGCGGTTTTGTAGAAAATTTTCTTCAAAACCTTTTTTCTGAAATTTTGATACATACTGCATTTGATAGAGAACTGTGAGGGCTATCCAAATCACTATTCAAATTTGACCTAGCTATTCGGCTTCATCGAAAATGTTCAAAAATCAGCGCCTCTGTAATTTTTGCCAGCACTGTATTGCTAACTAGAGTGTTTAAGAGCACACTGTTTTGAAGTTCATAGAAACAAGAAGAAACAAGTGTTCTGTCAAATATACTGTGGAAAGAGAAAATTTCTGTATTATGATACTAAATTTCATTGTAGCATGTGCTGCCCTCATGAAAAAATGTTTTGGATGTCGAAAACCCATTGAAAGAACGGTTAAACTTGATGAATTATGCAGTATGAAACCTGCAGGTAGATATGAATTACTTTTGTCTCTCTCTCTTTTCATTTTAATTATTATTCTTTGTTTTTAATCGTTTTAGATCACTCACTATCATCAAATTCTGTTAATACAATAAATCAAAATATTGCTGCCAGTGATGCAATTGCTTTACAAAAATTACAACAACAACTACAGGAGATACGTGATCAGGTATATTTTAACAATGTTACTAATCATTCATCTTATTTGTCACATTATTATGATGTTTATTTAGACTGTTTGTCCGATTTGTATGGATCGTTTGAAAAATATGATATTTTTATGTGGTCATGGTGTGTGTCAACAATGTGGTGATCGTGTATCAGAATGTCCAATCTGTCGTAAACAAATTGAGAAGAGTATTATTTTATATACATAAACATAAACTAAACAATATAATTCTCATGTGACAAATCTTTATTTATTTTTTTTTGTTTTTTGCCAAAAATTGACATTTGTGGGTCTTTTTGCCTGTCTCTATCTAACTTAAGTCAAATAAGTCAACTTTTTCTATGAGAATTCTTTCTTATTTGTTGGTACGTACTACTTCTCATTTGTATCATTTTTTTTTGTTCTCTCTTAAAAAAATACACAGTGCAATAAAAAGGCGTAGTTTTATGTTCTCAATGATGAACACTAAACCTTAATTTTTTTAAATTAAAAAAAAATAACGACATTAGAAGATAGAAGTGTTAGTTCGAGAAATCATGAATGGCTAAATCATTTATATTACGATTGGTTTCATCGAATATGCTATCAAATACGTCTTGTTGACAAAGTTCTTGTTGTACATGGCTATTATCGTTTGTGTTAACGTACATTGAAAGATCATTTGTTGCTGTTGTTATTCTATTATTGGAAAGTGTTTCAAAAGATGGTAGGAAATCTGGAGTAGATGTAAGATTGCTACTGTCCATATTAGAACTCTAAAATGAAGAAATAACATCAAATTCAGAGATGAAATATCTAAAAAAGAGCGACGTAGTTGTATGTTGACAAAGTGATTATCTTTGAAAAAGTTTCTCATATTCTGGTCAAATCATCAGTTTCAATTCACCTGCTTATACCTCTTGGAAGACTTATCGTTTCTGTCATTTTGATTCCGTTATTAGTCTTAGAATGAAGTAAGGTGACATTTTGAAAACGTGCTCAATTTAAAGATCATATTTTGTTTATTTACCGTTGGGGAAAATGGATCAAAAATTTGAGTTGAAGACGTATTTAAATTTCTAAACTCGATGAATTGAGACAGCTGTGGATGTTGCTGATTATTCGTCATCTGTAATTGATAATCTAAATTATACTTAGTATTATAATTGTTTGAGTTACAAGGCGATATTCAATTACTATTATTGTTGATAGTGGAAAATGGACGTATTACGTTATTGTGATCAGAATTGTAATCTGATGGTAGAGGATGTGAATTTGGATATATAAAATTAGGTTGTGTTGTTGATGATACATGGTGAAAAATTGTGTGACCTGGAATGTCAGAATGAGTTGGATTTCCTTGAGTCATAACGTAAACAACCGGATTCTTGTGGTGAATACAAGAATTTCCAGTATGACTTGTCATGGGGAGTTGATTGGATGTCATAGGGAGTTGATTGGATACCATAGAAGAAGATGAGTAAATATTTGAGTTTGATTGATTATAAGCAGGAAAAACGTTTGTTAATGTTGTTTGATTTTGATTGACAAACGGTGTTTGAGACACTGCTATAATTCAATAATGATCATTTATATTATTTCAAACAGTTCTGAAGTAATATAATATAACGAATGGCCCATAAAGAATTGTGCTGTTAATATTTTCAAATTTTCTCCACCTCGTTACACTTGATTGAGCTAGTTTGTTTTTTAACCAAAAGATTCCCCGTTGAATTCTCTACAAAAAATGTATTGACTGTTTTATATTGCAAAATGTGTAATGTGAGAAGTACAAAATGTGAACGTACACAAAAAATAAACGTATTCGCTCTCAAAGAAAGTGAAATTTTTTTGAATGGTTTTACAAGCATTATTAAAACACGATTTCAGTATATTTTTGTATAGATTCAAATACGCTCTTTCTCGTCGTGTTGAGCGAAAATCCTTTGAATCTAAATATCCGACGTAAAGATTAACTTCTCAGCACACAAGTGAATATAGCAAAAGTTGTTACCTTTTCTTCGTGCGGTAGAACAAAAACAATTTGTTTTTCAAATCTTAGAGATCCGATCATAACGACTAATCATTTGTTTTCAAAATTAAAAAAAAATCAACCTTCATGGATCAAGTTTGGGGAGGAAAGATCCTCAAGTGTGCAGTCGCTTTTTGCTTGAACTCTAGTGAACAATAGGTGATCGACTGCGCTAAATCCGAATCTGACATCGGTTTGCGCTGCTAGGCCTCCAGAGACTGAATTTCTGCAAAACCAGATTTTCGGAAACTCTAAAAAATAACCCAAACCTTTTCTTAATGAGGCATGATTGTAGACTGCAAATTTCTGATTAAAATGTGACGTCTCCCTGCTCTACACGATCTTTCTTTGCTAATTTATAGAATTTACAAGCAAAGCCCTAAATTAATTTCTTCTTATTTCTGTAACTTTGAGGTGACAATGAACATTTAGAGCTTTTCTTGTAAGATCTATAACTTTGCAAGGAAAGATTGTGTAGAGCTGGGAGATGTCTCATTTTAATCAGAAATTTGCAGGCTACAATCATGTCTCATTAAGAAAAGGTTTTGGTTATTTTTTTAAAAGTTCCTGGAAAACTACGAACCGTCTGACTTGCTACGACTCTACACCGTTATCGGTAATCAAAAGCGGTGATTCTTCTTTTGGCCTAGCAGCACAAACCGATGTCAGATTCGGATTTAGTGCAGTCGATCATCTATTGTTCACTAGAATTCAAGCAAAAAACGACTGCACACTTGGGGGCCCTTTCTCGTAAGCTTTATTCGTTGTATTGGAAGGCTCAAATTATTTGTCAAAAAATAATGAAATTCTTGCACCCTCAATTCTAACTGAAAATTTCTTTAAATTATAGATGAAAAATAGAGCTTTTCGAGCCATATATGGTGGCTAGTTCAGCTTTCCTCTCTTACAAACTTTTAGAAGATAATAGGAAAACAAACCTGTAACTACGTTTATTTTTTCTACATCTTTGTACTTCTCACATTTTCTCATGGCACTTTTGTACTTTCGGATTTTGCAATAAAACAGTCAATACATTTTTTGTAGAGAATTCAACGAGAAAACTTTTAGTAAAAAAACCTAGCTCAATAAAGTATAAGGAGGAGGAGAAAATTTGAAAATACTAACAGCACAATTCTTTATGGACCGTACGTTACTTACAAGTATTTGGTAGTGATTGTGAATCATGAGGGTCTACTGAGACGTAGAGTATCTTTTCATAATCATGTACACTATCCCCTTGCTACAATTTAAAGATTAATTGTTATAGAATAGAGGAAGGATAATAGTTGATAAATTCTTGAAGCTGATCTTCGTTCATCTTAAAAACGTCTCATCCTTTCTCGTTAGCATCGAAAAAAATTTGTTCAAATAAGTTAATAAATACCTCTGTGTAAACTGATGGTGGTGAGAATGGCGAAACATCTGGAGTTCTTGCATAGTCTAGAATGTATGTAAAAATAAAATAAAAAAATACACCATGACTGATATTTAAAAATATTACCAAAATTTGTAAATGATGATAATGTATAATTTGGATGTAATGAGTTTTCTATTTTTGTTTCAGTTGGTATATCTGTTGCACTAGAGAAATATCATCGATATTATGATATTAGTCTACTTTAAAAGTTAAACTTACTTTGATACGACATTTGTTACTGGTGTATATTTTCCATCATTTTTGCATAATTGTTCCAATTTTTCACCTTAAAAAAAAAACAAATTTTAATCATCATCAAAATTATTGCCCAAATAGTTAAATATGTACTAAAATAATTGCAAAAATCTTTAAAAGATTTATAAGTTTTATTTAAATATGTTTCACCAAAATCAGATAATACTCGAATATTATTTGCTTTTTGCTCCACGGTATCACATACAAGTTTACTAATATCATTGGCTAATATGCTACTATCTAATGTTCGATACTGTATTCGTTTATTTGTCTCTAAAATATAAAGATCATTAAAATAATATTTATTATAAACGAAAAAAGATAATTTTTTAGAGAAATGTTACCATTATAAATATCAACTCGTACGAAAACTGGCATCGATTTACTACTATTTCTATTTGTACTATCAGTTTTTATTGAATTAAATCTCAAACCAATTATAGGAGATGATTCTGTTTGAGAATCTGACGGTGATCGTGGTCTAACCATTGCGTCTGCTGCTATGGTACTATTACATGTTCCAAGAAAAAGTCTAGAAAATATACAAGAATTTCGTATAATATTTTATTTTTAATATAAACTTATTTCATTTACCCATCGGCATGAAACATGGCAAGAACAGGATGTTTTGCCATAAATTCAACTTGATTAACAAATTGTACTAAGACATCCTAGAAACGAGATATAATGTTTGAAATTTTTATTAAATAATATTTTTTAAAATTTCTTACGAAATAAATATCTTCTAATGATAGATTAACATTGTTTCCAGTTTTGCTCTCTACATAAGAAATATGTGATTGACTAGATACTATATTAATTCATTTTTTAAACTAAAAAATAACATACCATATGCTTTCGTTATCTCTTGTTTGAGATAAGAACGCACACAGCTATTTGGTTTAACACCTGTTTTATGTACAAAATAACGGAACATATAATGTATAACTTCTCTTGGATCTAGTGGTTGAGAGTACATAGTCTTTTGTGCACATACAGGACGATTCCAAAACGTTTCAATGTCATTGAGTAACACTCTTGTTTCAAGAGCAGAGGTATAAGAATTATGAGCACCAATTCCTAAAAATAGCAAAATAATATATTTCAGCGGTATGGTTGACATTTTAGTAACAGTTTACCGAATGATAATGAATCGACAGTAAGAAAGTGCTCAAAATGTTCGTTGAGAGCTTCGATGTGAAACTATAAAGAATCAAATGTATTTTTTAACTTGAAGAAAAGTTAATCTATTGACTAAAACGTCAATTAAATTAATATATTTACATTAAGTTTAATTGCAAATCTAAATCGATGTAATTGTTGTGCAAATCGAACTCTTGGTTCTACTGAAGTTTGTGATTGTTTGAGTGTAAATGATGTTAATTCACAATAACGAAATGTCTTTAGTTTTCCTAAAATATTCACTTGACACGTTTTCCACGTAATTGATTGTGGTTCTACAAGTTTATACGGTAGCGGAGGTGTTTGTGATACAGGCCATAAACTTGGCTCTAAAAAATGTAATGAACATGATCAATATTCATTTGAAGAATAATACGTAAGTTTCTTACCAACATCATAAATTTCAATAGAATTTGTATTATTACTCATATAATCATGTAATAAACACATAATTCTAATATTTATCTTTGCAGTATACTCGTCGGCAGATTTTTTATCATATATTGTTACCGGTGCCGTAGAGCCGATGTGAGGATGAGACACAATAAGAAATGAGCTAATAATCGAGAAAACAGAGTTAGGGTATTTTTAGATCTATAGTGGTGGCAAAAATTATAGAGCCGCTGTATTTTTGAAATTTTTTGATGAAGCCGACTAGCTAGATCAAATTTGAATAGTGATTTGGATAACCATCACAGTTCTCTATCAAATGCGGTATGTATCAAAATTTTAGAAAAAAGGTTTTAAAAAAGAAAGTTTTCTAACATTCATAAATTTTCCACAACCTGGCATATCTGCAGTGCATGTATAACACATCTTTACTTTACGAATTTGAATCACATCTAATAAAAGTGAAATATTGATTGAAAATAGGAAAGAATGTTTCAGAGGTCCAGAATCTACTCGTACGAATGAAAAACTTCTCTGACGGGAAAATTTCTAGAAATGTGCTTTTGCTTGTTTTTTAGTCGATTTTTAGCGTTTTTTTCGTAAATTATACTATTTCTTTGGGTTTTTCTGATGTCTGTAACTTTGTAACGAAAGATTGTGGAGAGCTAAGCGCTTCCTCATTTTGTTTAGAATTTTATGGTTTTTTTAGATGACTATATTGCGAAAATATTTTTATCTTCTAGGACTTAGGACAGTTTTCTAGAAAAGTTTCTTTAAAACCTTTTTCTGAAATCTTAACACATACTGAATTTGATAGAGAACTGTGATGACTATCCAAATCACTATTCAAATTTGACCTAGCTGCTCGGCTTCATCAAAAAATTTTCAAAAATACAGTGCCTCTATAATTTTTGCCAACACTGTATCTAATGTGCATTACTCATTTAATATTGACTTGATTTCATGAAGTCCATGTTGACGAAATGAATTATTCTTTCGCATATTATTAATAATAAAGGTTAAATGAGCTGTTGTTCTAAATATTCATAATTGTTTAACAAATAAAATATAAAAGAATGATTTGAATTCTTACTTGTTTTGTAAATTGATTAAATTTGGAGGACTTTCAATATCTTTAATATCATAAAAAAAAAGTCTTCTCCGACGTTGTGCATTATTTCTGAGTTGAAATTCTTTTTCTCTCAGTCGAAAATCCTATAATAAATAGGTATTTAAAATAAAGATTTTTACTTTACTATAATAAATCATAATATACCTCGGATTTTAATTGTAATGGTAGATCATGTTCTAATAATTGTGAATGCATTTCAAGACGAATATCAGAAATAAGTGCTGTGAATTCTGACTCGTTCTTAGTTGAGAAAAACTTTAATAGAAAAAAAACAAAAACAAAATCATTTGTTGAAATATTACCTTCTGAATGAATGTTAATAAACGATTTAACATTAAACATTTTTCAATTGATGCATCGATATCTTGCAGTGATTGTCGTTTATCTTCGAGTAATCTTGTAAAACTGACCATTTCTCTAAATGTGTGTCATAAACTCCTTATCGTATAGCTATTCTTTAAATGAGATCTTGTTCATACCTGTTACGACCTGGTTTATCGATATCATCAAATAAATCTGAAAAGTTAATATCACCAACACCCTTTCGCGTCAAAAAAGCGAGAATTCCAAATGTTTTTGCTGAATATTCATTTGGACAAAGAAAATCATAGCTTTCTAACAGACCAGTTAGAAGTTTCTAAAATAATGTAAAATTTTTAAGTTCAACATCAATAACCGTATTTACTTACATGATTTTTGGGTGCTGGTATTGGTGCTTGAATAGAGAAAAAATGAGTGACGTTATAATGATTATCTATTTTAGAATATAAGTAATAATCACTTACCCGCACGTTTTCGTTTGCTAGTTGTAGCCATTTAAAGAAGATATAGTGTAATAAATCTAAAAGTATAGTTCGCACTGCCTACTATTAAAACAATGTTATCTAACAATAAAAGATATTTTTCAGACAAAGTTATGATAAGATAAGATAAGATTTTATTTTACTCAAGAGCAGGATATCACAAAAAAGAACAAAAGACTTGTGACATCCTTGGATACCCTGTGATAACCTAAAACTAACAATTTAAAAATATAAATATTTAAAAATTCTAAATAAAACTCTCTCTCTCTTCATATTAGAATACAAGTGTGTGTACTAGAATATGAACATTTTTAGTATACAATGTCTAATATTTTGCGTTAATTGCGTTAATTTTGCGTTAATAGATAATAAAAGATGTCTTTTAATATATAATATTTTATTGTGACTATTTGAATTGATGTACTCAAAATATAATAAAATAATTAAGCATCGAAACATATCTTATTACAAGATAAATAATAAAATTTATGTAAAAAAATCCAGATATCTTTCTTAATAGGTTCGTTTTAAAGTCTTTGACAGTTATTTTGTTCAAAGAAAACATATTCATACACATATTATATGAAACGCAGAAAAATCTATCTTGAAAATCTATCTAAAATTATGTCGTTAGTATCTTACATTAAGACAGACAAACGTTTTCTATAGTAAATGACATTCAACAATAAATTCAGAGTTTGTTTTTAATCCATTGTGCACTGCTTACTTTCATATTAGTGAAACCATCTATATAAATTCATCATGTCTGATTTATACGCAGTAAATAGACCACCATCGTTGGGTAGTAGTTGTTTATGATGGTTTTGAGAATATCGATGATTAGTATTGACATCGACTATCTGAAATAGATGAAAATGTTAATCCAATTGACATTCTGTGGTATACTGGACGTTGTTGGATATTATGAACTGTATTTTCAAAATAAATACCGAAATTACTGTCAAAAATTGAAAAAGAGTTCATTCTTTCTATCTCTTAACTAACCTCATGCATCACTAAAGACAGAAAGAAATGTACAATAAATATCATTGTTTCAGGCCCATGCCTCTTGAAGACCCGTTTTCCAGGAAAACTAGTTTTTCAGACACTCTAAAAAATAACCAAAAACCTTAATGAGGCATGATTGTGGTCTGCAAATTTCTGATTAAAATGAGACATCTCCCAGCTCTACCCGACCGTTCTTTGCAAAGTTATAGAATTTACAAGAAAAGCCCTAAATTAATTTCTTCTTATTTCTATAGCTTTGAGCTGATAATGAACACTCAGGGCTTTTCTTGTAAGATATATAACTTTGCAAAGGAAGGTCGTGTAGAGCTGGGAGATGTCTCATTTTAATCAGAAATTTGCAGGCTACAATCATGTCTCATTAAGAAATGATTTTGGTTACTTTTCAGAGTTTCTGAAAAACTTTCCAGAAGGTTTTCCTGAATAACCGATCTTCAAGAGTCATGGGCCCGAATCCGCTTTAGAGTATTTACTACCTCACCGAGGTCTATCGATCCATGTACAAAGCATTTGAATTGGAAGTAGGCATCTCGGTTGATTCCCTCGTAAGTGGAGCTACCCATCAGCAAGTTTTTTTCTTCAAAAGATTTTTGTCAAATAGTGGAGAAAATACAAGTAATTTTTTGTGTAGAAAGAAGTTAAACTACATTGAGAAAAAGATGGAAGATATGAAATATGGGTAATAGTAAAACATGAAGACGCCCACAGATACCTACAGACACTCACAGACAGCACGCAGACATCCACAGACAGCTACATAGACATCCACTTCTACGTCTGCAGAAGTGGATGTCTGTGTAGCTTGGGTGGTCTATGGATGTCTGTGTGCTGTCTGTGGGTGTCTTCATGTTTTACTATTATCCTAAGAAATATTTAGTCTAGTTTGATATATCAGGATATTCATAACACACGAAAAACCTTGGAATGTATATGATTTAGATTATCAAAAGTTCTTCCTCTGTAGTTAGAAAACAAATCAGCTTGTTTCTTAGCACTTCTACAAATATGATGCTATATGTATCACTAAAAATATGTAAATACAATTGGAGTAATATTACCATGTTTTCATTCGATTCATATGCACCTTTTACGATCGACTTTGTTAAAACTCTTTGATAATAAACTACCGCTAATCGATTTTTGTATCAGAAAATTTCGAATTTTTGAGGATCTTTGCCAAAGTGTAAACGTCTAATGTGCATGCTGAGTTATGAAGCAAAAATACAATGTTTTCATAATCATATCTGAACTTTTGTAGAGAGGAATGATGATATAAACGGAAATTATGTTTAGAAATGCTTTATACTTCAATCATTGAACCAGAATGACATTACTACATTGCCTCAGCATTTTGACCGATTTTTTGTTTGACAATCTTGGGTTTCACCCTAATCAGAGGCCATTATTAATCACCAGTACTCACATCGAACGATATATTTACACTTCAAGTTAACCAAAATTTCTTGAACTAATGCATGAATGAGTTTTTCCTGAATCCACTGGTAAATCATACATAATTTCAACAAGTCATGTAAGTCGACATGAAACTGCTTTCATTATAAAGGTAAATCGTACAATGCAAACAAGCGACTAGCACTAATTAAACGAGTTTGATCGTTTTACTATTAAGTTATTGGTTTTTATCTTGAAGGTCTCTCATTTGTACATAGTCTATTTGGATCATTTTGTTCTTTTTTTATAAATAAGAGAAAAATTATGTATAATATCTATTTACTTCTCCCATTTGAATGACTCACTGTGTGCTGTCTAAAATTTGATTATTTTTTAGTTACAAAATACTTTTTCATATTAATACAACATATAGATAGTGGTTCTGCTAATAAGTGTGTATGAAAGGTCCATATATCGTAGATTTTATTTTTTTAGGTGTAGATTTTTAAACCTAAGTAAATAAATAAATAAATGACACACATGTGAATGAGAAAAAAAGGTTTTCACGTGTATTTTTCGATTTTAGTTTTGTAACCTTTATTTTTTTGTTCTATAATGAAAAAAAGAAGTGTCTCGTCTTTATATATATTGTCCACGCGATCTATGGTATTGTGAATAAATGAAATAATTTCGCGGAAATTCGTTTTTCACGTATTTCAAGTTCAAACAAAGATGATTATTACTAAATTCTCTCATCATACAAACGTAAAACTTCGAAGAAAACAAATTTGAGCACGACATTGCTAATGTGCATGACATGCATGATGCATATTTTTCACTGAGCAACAAGTGCGGAAATGACATGGATGCCGGACGATGTCGATATATATATATATATATATCTTCAAGAAAAATCTCTCACAAAATTCTCACTTGCCGTGGGCGCTATAATGATTCGATTGTCCCCCACGTTAAATAAATTACGTTTACATCAAAATCTCACACTAATTTTTTCTAATGTTACATTGAAATTTATTTAATCAATAATACTTTTTTTTACTCTATGCATATCGTTACCGCATCATCATACCACAACTATACTCCACTGTTACGGTATTTCCCTTATGAAAAAGAAAAAGATGATGTCAAAAGCGCATTCAAAATATTACAAGTATATTCAGGGGCTTCCATTGAGAGTTGCTACCAAAGGTGCCATAATCCACACCAATCCGAACTGGAACCAGTTGAGAAAAGGTAAACCGGGTCGGTCCGACCTATAGCTGAACCGATTGGGATTAGAACTCAAACCGGCGAAAAA